TACAGGAGACAAAATAGTTGAATTAAACTGTTTTAAAAGTCTAGGTGGCATTTAGTGAAAGGTCCCCTTAGCACTCAAGTGTCTCACACACAAGACATCGGATATTTATGAATTGATTCGACAGTGTCAGTCAGTCCTGCACTTTGCCTGGGGCACTAATCCATGTGATGGAATTCATATGTCTACTTCATATTAAGTTTCCCGTGCTGCTTATTGACCTTTTCATCTAGTATTTTCCCCCACCGATGTGGACTGGTCCCTTCACAGAAGCTGTCTAGAGCCATTATTTGGTTGCTTTCGATTTTGCTCTGGGTGAAAAACACTTGAACACTCACCACAGTGGTAAGAAGGGCTTAAAAGTGAAAGAGCACTGGCAGTGTGGGACGTGGGTTGCAGCTACAATTGACTTAAATGGCTGTATCTTTTAAATGTGCTAATTTCTGTTCAAACTATTCGCCAAAGGACGAGAAAAAGGTCATCACTTTCTCGATAGCTCTTAGTTTTTGTGCCTCGGATGATGGGAGGAACGGCGAAGCGCTCGGTGCTCCGGTTGCCTGTACATGCAATTTAAATCTTACATTTGATTTAATCTGTATTAAATATGTGATATTTGTCAAGGACATCAGACAATAAACAGTTGATCCAAAAAACATAAAAATGAAAACAATAAATTAACTAAAAAATGATGCTGATGAAGACGAAACTGTTAAACACGCATTAAAGCACGATTGTCATGAATACCAGCCGGATTCCTGTTTGTTTTCTCCTTTTGTACACATCTTTGTCTCGATAAAAGGGAAAAAACTAGACTGTTTTTGTTGTGCTTCGCTGGCTAAAGGAAACTAGGTTCTCCCAAAACTAAAGTGCAAGTTGGAAGGCTATTTTCAGCCAAAATATTAAATATTCTTCACAGCAGTTTAATAAAACTTTTCATTGCCTATTCATGAGCTGAGACACAACGACTCCATCTCCGATCGCTCCACGGGATAAACCCTAACCCTAGCCGACGTGGGCTGCGGTGTGAGCAGCGAGGGCTCTGCTCTGTGCATCACTTGAGGTGACCACCAATGGTCGACTCTAGTGCAGGTCGTTTAAGTGTTTGGAGAAGCCTAATTCAGAAAACACTTCAGTTATATTGCAAAATATTTTCTAGAACACTTGCGTTTATCTTTCCAGCAGATTTCATGCCTCTGTCATGCAAACACACACACACACACACACACACACACACACACACACACACACACACACACACACATACTCCCTGTCACAGTAATACGGCAGGTATTCTAATTCGCACTACTTCCTGCACGCTCTCACAAGTGAAAGACAGATCCTCGTCCTTTAACAATGGAGTATGATGAATACCTTCTCCTCTTTATGGTGAAATGATCTTCCCTCCATTTGCCCTTTTAGCCAGCTCTATACAGAACAGTACTTGATTAAATCCCATCAGTGCAGCTATTTGGATCAAGGACCTTGATTAAAATGCTGAAATATGATTTTCCCATCTACCGTTAAGCTCAGATCTGCACCTCATTTTGCCAGAGACTCAACAACTTAACGTGGGATGGACTTATAGTTGTTTACATCCTGGAACTTCATGCAAAATTTGTATTTTCATGAATAAACATGCATACCGCATGCAGTGTTGTCATCATGATTACATCAGATCCTGTTTCATGTGTTTATTAGATTTATTCTCTGAAGTGGAGTGTGTGTGGGGGTGTCTCCCTGTGTGTGCTTTACCTCCTGTTCACATTATGCATTTGTTGCTTTTACCTACCTTGTAGTTCACCACATCTTTTTACTATTCTGCACTTTATTGCATTTTCCTTAATGAGTTGTGTGATCTGTAAAGTTCTTGATTGAGGGTGAAGGACACGTGCAGGAAGGCAGGCCGTTATTTGCTTGAAGGTATGCTGTGGGTTTATGAAAACCCTGACCAGCGGCCATAACGATTCAGCTGTGCACAAACCTGCTGCACTTCTTGAAGTGCTGTTTTTATGTAAGCCTGCCTGGGCTATCTTTTTAATTAATATCTGCCTTGAGGGGACTAGTTGGATACAAACAGAAAAAAAGAAAAAAAACAACCCTGGTGCATACCAATAGTCTGCAAATCCAGCAAGGGGTAAAACATTCTCTCCGTGGTTGAAATAAAAATTTATTTCAAGGGGTTTTCTTCAAATTATAAATTATTCCATGAATAATTTGACTTGATATTGTTAAATGAGTGCCTTCGCCTCTGGATTTTGTTATTTTATACAGAAAGTATCAACTTTTGCAATTAATTTTAGTATATTACAACAACTCCAATACAAATATTAGTTATACAGATTTAAGTGGCACTAATATGTTACAAATCACTACAAGTTTTTGACTTTATTTCTTATCTAAAGTGATAGAGATTTAGAGGGTTATGTGCAGTGTTCAGTAGGTTTAAGCTCAGGTATGAGGCCCTGATTTTTACTGTTGTCTGTTAGGTTTGTGTAACAGACACCGTTTAGAAAGAAAAGATCAAATTGATTCTGCAATCGTCCATCCATCCATTGTCTGACCTCGCTTGTCCACGTAGGGTCGCGCGGGGGGGTGGGGGTGTGCCTATCTCCAGCGGTCAGTGGGCAATCAGGCGGGGAACACTCTGGACAGATTGCTAGTCCATCGCAGGATTCTGCCATCATGTTTTTTAAATTTTTAAGAAAATTTTAAGTTTTAAAGCAAAATTATTCTGACTAATGCATGGCAGGTATGCATAGTTTATTTTATATGAGCTGAAAAAGGATACACATCCAGAAATGTTTCCCCTTTCTCTCCTGAGACCAAAGCCTTTGATGGTGTTTGGTTTTATTTTCATCTGGGATTAGGATTGTGATTGGCAGAACCTCATAAATGTAAATAAACCTTTTAAACATGAATTGATAAATTTAAACATGAAATGGTAATAACATTTACCTTAAAAGTACATGAAGTAAGAATGACATCATGTGGTCATTTGTGGGTACTGCTGTCCATGTAACAAACAAGTCCGCTCTGAGCAACTGCGGCCATTTAAGAAACAGCGCCAGCCGATTCTGAATGACGGGTGAAGATGATGGTGAAGACAGATAAATTTCACTTAAGATTAACTTAATGGTTATTGACGAAAAGCAGCGTAACATTGTTTTTGAGGTTAGCGTTAGCTTTGTTAGCTCAGTATTATTTTCTAGCCTGTTTCACCCGATGTTAGAGTAAAAAAAATATATGTCGTGGCTTCTTAGAGGTACAACAAATAACTGCTGGGTTGCTTCTTTAACTGGCTAAGATCATTCCCACAACATCGCTGCTCTTTGCTGATCGATGTCAAAATACAAATGCTGGGGGATCGAAGTTTGCCGGGCCAGACTTGGGCACCCCGTGTCCTCCAATAAGTTTGGCTCTGGAACCAGGAAGTAAGGAGGCAGGACGGACTGTAAACAAAGACTACATCCCTCTTTGGCCTTTCAAAAGGAGAAAAACTGACAACCCCCCAGCCGGCCTAAGGAAATCTGTTTTAATGTAACATTCTTTCCAAAATAGTTCAGACATTAGACTATTTAGTGATTATTTCACCATAAAATGCCTACTTTGTGTACTTTTCTTCTATTTATTATCTTAAGTGTATGTGCTGTTGTTACAAGTCAATTTCCCCACTGTGGGATCAATAAAGTCTATTCTATTTTATTCGTAAATTAAATGAAACTTATTTTTGCCCTTAAAATTAGACCAGTAATTTGAACAGATCTAGGACAAATAAACTATTATATACAGTAGATACTTGGTCTCAAAAACAACACAAACTCTCAAATAACAAAAGGAGAATTGAAGTAAATTATTTCTATTTGTGTATTTTTGGGCTTTCAAGTCTAACAAAAAAAGTCACAATATTTGTAAGTAGTGTAAAAACTGAATATGTAGAATAAGTTTTCACAAAAGGATATCAAATGTACTTGTTACTATTTTCATTTCACCAGTTTTATGTTCAAATGACACCCCATCAAGCACTTAAACATTGTCTAAAACTGTTTTTGTATATATTTGCATCATAATTAGGTCTGAAGTGCTTTTAAAGCCACTGTATTCTAATACTGGACATTCCTAAGGGTACATTAAACAATTATAATATTATTTCTTTTCCCTTTGGTAGTTTAGCTGAAAACTTTCCACTTTCCATCATTTTTCCCCTTTCAGCTTTAATGTCCAAACTGTGGAATTATATTTGGAGTTGAGGATAAACAAAATAAAGAAAACAACTTTATGCATAATTCTTCAATTAGGCAAAATGATTAAATTAACCTCCTACGTTTATGTCCATTAAATGTCATTATATTTGTAAGCTACACTAAAAAAGTAATTAGAAACTCATTTGAAAGCACCCGTCGTTGCTAAAAGTTAGTTTCCTCCTTCCTCTTGAGAAAAGAAACATTTCGAGGAAGGTCACACTCTGAGTGTCTTCCAGCGTTGAGCATCTACCACCTTTAAACATGAATTAAGCTTTAAAAAGAAGCCAGATTTGACTCAGCAGAGGCTCGAACACTCAAAGCTAAGTGTTGAAGAGACTTCAAATTGGCCTCTGAAAGGAAATCTTGCTAAAGGGTAAAATGCTAAATCTTATCTGGGAAGCATTAGCGCACATAATTTTAAACGCCAATTTATTTGTCTCTGAGCAATCAGAGAGAGAGAGGGGGAGAGAAAAGAGCAGCAATCTTTCGTGTGACGAAAATATAAACTAATGTGTTGAATAGAGAATCATTTGCCCAAAGCAGTGAATGTGTGTGTGTGTGTGTTTTCATCTGTGCATCTGCAACAGAAAACATTTCCAGTCATGCTTTTACCTCTTTAAACAGAAAACCCTGCCCTCAGAAAATCTACACACTCCTATACTGACGTGGATATTAGGAACACGAGGTCATCTCTCAAATGAAATCAAAGCCATGACTAAAGTGATGCTCGACCAACCCACACAAGGACAAGAGCAAACGTCATCAGTTATTTCCTTTTTATTTGATCTTTTGATGTTTTTATTTTTTCTTCAGATAGATCACAATGAACACAGCCTTTAGACAATAGCAGTTGAAATATTCATACAAATAAAAATGTCTGGTCTTTTCACCAGCTGCCCCGCGGTAGGGAGGAGCCCTATGCTGTCAGTGTGGGCCCGAGGGCAGAGAGACAACACTGACATCATCGGGTGCTTGTTTAAACCAACCAAAAAGGCATATTGTCCGTATAAATAGCATGTGTGTGTTTGAGTGTGTGTCGCAGTGACTGTCTTGAGTCTGTGTGCACTTGCATCAGTGTGAGTAATAGACCAGAGGTGGTTAGCCACATTCAACAAGGCCCTTTCCTAATAGCTTGGTAAAGCCAACAAGTCTCAAGTGGGCAAAAAAAAAAATCACACTCTAGGCTTGAGTAGTGCACTGCCAACAGTGTGTGATGCCAGTGTTTAATTAGACAATAATGAGAGACCTCACATTATGCTCAATCTCTTAACTTCTGAGGCCAAACTATGTGTTGGCCTGAACAGTAGCCTCTGCTCTATTAAACAGCAAACAGCCTGAGAAAGGGGCCATGGCTTTAGAGAATTCCTTCTGTTGACTGGGCCCAGCTCATTTCCTTACCCTCAGTTTGAGAGCGTGCAGACGGCGGCCGGGCCCAGAGAACACCATTAGAGGGGACAGTGCTTTGAATCGTGACAGTGACCGTTTGTGGCATCCAGAATCAGAGTTAAGAAACAGAAAAAAATAAAATAAAATAAAAAAACACCAGAATGACCTTTGAACCTGGCTGTAAGTGATGACAAAAAATATCACAACAATAGAGGGTTCATTTAAGGTGGAATTGAAAGGTGACAGAAAGAAGAGAAAATATTCTATATTTTTGTCAAACAATAGGAGCATGAAAAGGAATTAAGTGACGACACACACACACACACACATGCACGCAGAGCAAAGCAAAGTGTCTATTCTAGCATGAAGACTGAGCAAAGTAAGATAAAAAGAAGAAAAATCCATGAAGACAAATATGGAGGAGCCACATTTGTCTTGGTGGTGTTTTGTCTTCTCTTTCAGCCTTTATTTTATTTTCAGAGGTTATGAATTTACATGAAAGGCAGAGCATTGCTTAAATGCATTGGTGTTTTTTTCATGAGCGTGTGCAACGGCATTTCTTTTAGGATCAAAGCAGAAGTGCTGCACTTTTTAACCGTTTGTGCTGTTTGCCTGATGTGAATGAGAAACCTTGCATGATTCATCCAGATATTTCACGATAAAACAAAAAAAAAACCCTCTCATTTTAAAAAGGAATACAAATATTTTCCCTCCTCCGTCAGAGCCTCTAAGCCTCGTCTAAAAACAGATGCTGCCTTCTCCCACAGAACAAAACAAAACAAAACAAAAAAAAATAGCGTAAATGTAAACCAAATACTTTTCAGATGAAAGAGCAACACTTACTTTGCCCCTTCGGAGAGAAAGCAAAGCGCTGAAGCAAAGAGATGTAGGCAATGCATAGCAAAATGCAAAACAAGTCAGAGGGATAGAAAAAGAAACTGATAAAACATCCAAACATGCAGCATGAGAAAAGAAGCCGGAAACACGTAAATGTGACAAAACTACATGAAAAAAAGCTGTTTAAATGCTTGTTGAGTCTTATCTAGGAGCCACACGGGTGCAAGTCACTGTTCCCTCTCATGGCTGCAGGTTATATACATTTGGTGATTGTGGTCACGTTTTCCCAAACAATGCAAGAAGCCTACTGTTCTGTGTACTTTAACCCAAGGGATTGTTAGAAAAAGTCCCTCCCGCTAATATTTCAGAAAGTGGCCGAAACGTGCCAAAATTTTCAAAAATAAATCTTTTCTTTTCTTTTCATTTTTAATACTAAGAAATCCTGAATGCGAAGACACCTGGTTATAAACCGTGTACCTAGCCAGCTAAGACATCAACTCCAGCGCAACTTCAGAGAGAATTTCAGATGTCAGGTTTTTTTCTATTTTTTCACTGCAAAGTAAGAGACTTCTAACATGTATTGAGAAGGAGAACATACATAAACAACACGGACTGCTGCGAAAGAACCTCTTTTGGTCCTTTAGTAGAAAATGCACATTCTGGTGGACCGGGGCTTTTAGAAGCAGTCACAAAGCTCCACAGATACAACAAGCTCTCTGCAGAGACAGTAAGGCAGTTTCATGATCACCAAGGAAACCACTCCACTTTACATATGGCAGGTTTCTATTCTGTTCTTTTTTTTTGTTTTTGGGAAAAAAAAAGTAGAAACATAATGAACAGAAAATATGCAGACTAGTTATTGTTAAAGAAAATAGCTGCCTTATAAAATGTTTGCTCAGTAAAAATAGTCAAACTGTTTTTCTTGTGGTTGTTGCTTTTTGTAGTTGGTTTGAATTGTATTGTAGATCAGCTGGCTCATTGACGCTTCTTATTAACAGTTATTTGTATCTGATCCAGCTAGATCAGGGTTAAAAAGAGGCGACGTCTCAAAAGCACTGAAGCCAGCCTGCAAAGATGCAGAATTAGAGATTGGAGGGAAAAAAAAAAACACCTAACGAAAACCCAAACTAAAGCAAACTCACAGAGTTCGACAGCTACTAAGGCAACTTTTGCCAAATACAATATAAGCCCATGTATATTGCAACACAACAATATATTAATTTAATAAAATACACAATATAGTTTTTGTACACATAACAATTTGGCTCAAATGCACAAAAATTGCAGTAAAATCAATAAAAAATATGTCAGTTTTTTGATGTAAACACATCTAAATTGGATACATATACACACACATAATGATATTATGTATAGTGATAATGTGAAGGGACATTTTCTCGTTTATTCATAGATTTGGATATATTTCTCATCGAAACAATGGCAGTGTCCTTTTGAAGTTCTTTGTCCTCCAGCCACAGGACGCTTTCTGCTGAGATGCCTCATTTCCTCACGTTTAAAACATTTTTTTTAATAAAATGTATAAATATTCTGTTGATATTTGGGCACTATACATGAATTCTTACATACAGTCATCTATATCGTCATATCGATATTGTCTTTTTCACAGTTGAGGAAAAAAATGTCCCTTTTTATACAACTTTTGATCGCCTTACAGCATAGTCACACACATGATAGTTCACTGTACACAAGGGACTAAAAGCTGATGATGTGCATGTAGAAGACGGTTCCACAGATGGGTAGCTGAGTGTTTTTGATGTGTGTGTGTGCGGTGCATGTAAATGCAACACCGTGTGTTTCCGCTAAAGTGTAGTGCACGTGTGTAACGTCGGTGCGTGCGACTACATTGCTCAGCAACATTTAAATAGGGGTGTGAGACAGACACAGCTTACACATGTAGTTACATATGACAGGTGAAACATAATTACACTGTTAGTAATTCTCCTGCAGCAGAGAACCGAAGCAGCTCCAGGTCCGTAACAACCCCGCCCCCACGAGAACACGCCCCCGATCACGTTTCCTCCGGTACAGCTCTGGTTCCATGCTACACCTACAGTACATTAAACTCAAAACAAGATAAAGGTTTATTGTGTATTTCGGTCTTTCGCTGTCCCGAACAGATTAACCTTTTGTTTCTCTTCATCCGCATCGATTGTCATGTCTGACCAGAAATAGTCCTTTTTCGTTCACTTTCAGTGTCCAGCACACAAGAAACAGATATCCACCTACACACACGTAGATATGCAGGATTTCACGAGAGACTATGAACAACACACGTATGAGCTGGTGGGCACTTAGATAAGAGCTTTGTGAGGTGCCAGAGGCGTAAACCTCTGCCATTTGCTTAACAAAAAGTCTATAAATTCACAAAAAGTCCAGACGTCAGTTCCGTTTTTTTGTCTCTTGGTGGTTTGAGCACCAGAGCTGGTGCCGCATGACTGACATAATAAAAGTTTTTATTAATTTATTTTTTGGTCCAGTGTTTTTTAGTTTTCTACAACAATTACAGTGACAACGGCCCCCAATCACAGGAGCAATTCAGCCTTCTGAATGTGTTTTGGTGAGAGTTTTGGCATGAAAGCCCTTCGAATGGCGACAAACTCCTCTCTTCACTTCCTCACGATGAGTTCAACTCTGTCACTTTCTGAGCGTGCCAGTGGCCTCGCTGTCTCTGCAATCCTGCAATAGTTTGTCGATGTCTCTCACCACCTGGTCAGCGTCCATTCCATCGCGGCTCGAATCTGGCTCCACCTGCTCCAGGACACACTCCATTTCACCTGCGGCCTCCTGGCTGATCCTGGAGCGGGCCTCTGCGAGCACCTTGGCCACCGGGTCTGAAGAGGGCAAGGGTGGATAGACCCCTTGGTCTCTGGTTTGTTTGGTAGGTGACAGGTACTGACCAACAGGAGGCCCGTAGTGGCCAGAGCAGCTGGCTAGAGGAGGTTTGCCTTCAGCCCCGTGCTGGGCCTTTGACTGCAGAGCAGGAAGGCATTGTGGAGCAGCCCTTGGTGGGACTGCTAGAGGCTGAGGGAACCTCTTGGAGCAGCGGGCTGAGGGCGCGTTTTGCTTTTAAGTAGGGCTTGACGTTGGCGACCAGGATGGTGTGATCACGCCTCTCTTTGCCAAAGGTACAGAAGGTTTTCTTGCCATTGGGATTGACAGTCTCATAAGTCTCTGTCTCAGGTACCGTCTCCATCCCGGCTGGCACAAACATGTTGTTACGGTAGTCAACACCTTCTGCCTGGTTTCCACCTGCAGGGAACTGAGGCATCCAGCAACGGTCAGAGTGACCCAGTACTCTGCACTCCTCTGTGCAATTTACACAATCCTCATCTGTAAACAGAAACAAAGGGGGAGGGATGGATAGGGAAGACAGTGATATTAATACCAGCAGTGCCTAAAATAGATTAAAATCACACAGAGAGAGGGTAATGAAGCAATACTGCTTTTGTAAAACTGCAGTGAAGTCAAGAAAGAGTGTAAAGCTTAGAGAAGTACTGTAAAGAAGAGTAAGTAAAGCATGTCTCTTTCTTAGCACACATAGAAGCAAACGCACATGAGCACACAAACGGGCACACAGCTTTCCAAGGGGAATGGGGGACACCTGCTTGCATTTTCCAAAGCTCTGATCAAGGAGATGGCAGAGCACATGGAAATATGGGAAGGGAGTGAGAAAAAAAAAACACAAAAAAGGCAAAAGAAAAAAAAAACCTCAACAACGGTTGAGGTTTGGCAAAGGCATAGTGCCGTTATCATAAATTCATGTCAGTGGGCTTTGAAGCCCTCCCTAGATAGAGAGGCTGTGCCAAATGGCTTGTGCTTCTTCCCAGTGTGTTTGTGCCTGTTTCTTTGTGCATGCCTTGTTGTTGACTCCCGTGCACACACACACACACACACACACACACACACACACACACACACACACACACACACACACACACACACACACACACACACACACACACACACACACACACACATACACACACACTTATGTATGTTCTTCTCTTTCATCTCTATTCAGAAGGATGCAAACCCTGGCTGATTATGGGAGTGTTCACGCCTGTGTCAAACGGATCCAGAACTTGGTTTAAAAAAATAAATAAAGATAGTACAGAAAACATAAAATAAAAACAGAAGCTGATTTTTCTCCCCCTTCCACTTGGAGGTAAAGTAAAAAACTGTGGGGCATTAAAAAATAAAGGCATCTGCTGTCTGATGGATGCAGAGACAAGATTCTTACGGACAATAAGAAATGACTGCAATTAGTGTGTTGTTTGCACCCCTGTTAACACACACCTAACAGGCTGTAAGCTGTTGGTTAAAATGAACCTTTTTTTAGAAGAAGTGTTAAACCACTGATCTTTTTTCAATGACTTAATAGAAGTTTTGCAACACGACTGAGTTCAAGTCAGGCTAAAATCCCCATTTAATTTATTTATATAGTGCCTATTCACAACAAGACTCGTCTCAAGGCACTTCACAAATTAAACACTCTAATTGAACCTACATATCAGTGCACACTGTTCAGTTCATTATGTCAATTAGTTAATAAGGAAATCCTGCAGATTGCATTTGTCTCTTGGAAAACAATGGCGCCAATTTGTCTCAACGCTGAGCAGACATCAAGATATTTTAGGTAAGTGGTCAGATCGTGGTGGTAATGTGGAGCAATCCTGTCTTTTTTTTTTTTTTTTTTTACAAAAGATTACACAATATCGGTATACGGGGGTATGGGGATCTGCCACGGACTTATCTTGGATATAAGTTGTTTTTTATTGCGATCGTTATGTTTTTTGACAGGCTGCTCCTAAAGGTGTGTGTTCTGCACAGTCCCCTTGAACTGTGCTGAACTAAGAGTCGGCTCTAATGCGGAGAAGCGACTGGAGCTCTGCATCGTTCCAGTTTATCATCTCAGCTGATTTTGTTTACAAAAGCAAAATTTACTGCCAGTGTTTACTTTCATCTTCAATATAGACAGCCAGAGCTCTGCAGTAACTCCCCACGTCACCATGACACCAACTTCTGTTGCGCCAAGGCAAGTCCGGCATTGCAACAATATTACTATCAAGTGTGGTGCTGTTAATGCCGCAAAATTCCTGCATCGTCATGCCGCTACGGCTCGTTCATGGGACACAGCGTGGCGACATTATTACGCTAATTTGCTGGCATTGTGTCTTCTAAAAGGGCCTACAGAGTCACTGACTTGTTGTGTCTGTAACTTTACAGCTAAGCAAGCACGTAGCGACAGTGGAGAGGAAAACTCCCCTTTTACAGGAACAGAACCTGACTCAGTATGAGCAGCCATCTGCCGCGGCTCCCTTAGAAGCACCAGTTTTATTTTCTAGAAAAAAGAAATACACATTTGTCATAGTGCAGCTGAACCTGAGACAGAAGTGAAGTTACAGCAACAGCAGTGCTATTTCTGTCTGTGAAGCCCTGCAAGAGCAGGTGGCTCACCATTTCACAACAATCTTTTAAGAGATGCATCCATATGTCTTTGCTATGTTCATCACAGTTAGTCCCCCCGCCAACACACACACACACACACACGCCCTCTGATGCCCATTTTGAATAACTTACTTATTGTAATTCTGAACCTAAACCAAAAGTTGCCATTTTGTGGAATTTGTTAACAAAGATTTCAATTATTTCTTCCGCTCTGCTTTGATGGTAACTTTTATTCAAGCGGCGAAGCACTTCTGCGAGCATTCTCAACTAAATGTGGGAGGACAAAATTGCTGTTAGGAGCTGTAAAGCGACCCCCATCAATCCCATTATGCAATGCACGAAGCTCTATCACGTGGTGAGAGTGCAGCTTTAAAGACCACAAACCTGGGACTAATACAATCTCTCGTTGATGCGAATGAGCAAGCAGAGTGGATGTGCTTGAGTGCACTTGGTCTGGCTGTCTTCGCCGTGTTGCGGGTCAGCAGCCTAGAATCCTGAGAGACTGCCCTCCTAAGCTGTAGAGATGAGCTTAACACTTCACAAATGTTTGAAGAAGCCAAAAAGCGCTGGCGAGAGCAGCCTGATATTTCCTGTGTCAAGGCAGTCACCTGAAGAGGAAATGGGGTGAGCTGGAAGAGGGAATGCTAGACCAATATGAATGGACTACATTTAAATGAGTGAATGCATCTTCACACACTGAGGTGTGTGTGTGCGTGTGTGTGTGTGTGTGTGTGTGTGTGTGTGTGTGTGTGTGTGTGTGTGTGTGTGTGTGTGTGTGTGTGTGTGTGTGTGTGTGTTTCTGTGTGCCAAAGGGATCTGGGATTTGAGTAAGAAGATATAAGAAACACTTCAAAGCCCAAAGATCGATGATTTGTTAAAAAAAATTGCTCGTAAAAAAAAAAACATAAACCTGAATACAATTTCAAACCAGAGAACACTATTACAGTAATCCATCACTGGGACTCAGAATACAGAACCGACATCCAACAATGCGCTCTGGTTGACAAACAGCGCGGCACACACCCACACGCAGCAGCTCTGCACAAATTCCACACACAAACAATTAACTTTGCCCCTGCGATGTCTTCATGCTCTCGGAGGTGACTGTCCATTCACCATATTAAAGCATAAATAATCTATGCAGACATATTTCTCTCTATTTAGTCGTAAGAAACCTCTGATAGATTATTCATGTCTCTGCTGCACGTACAACCTTGAGGCGTTCTCATATCTATGGCTAACAATATGACATATGAGAGCAAGGGTGACATTCATCTCCCTCTCTCTCTCTCTCCTTGATTCTTCGCCGGGGCTCCACCAGCTCTCTGGGATGGGCAGCAAAGGCCTCCACCAAGGACACGTTTGCCCATGATGATTTGGTTATTAGGGGCACGCTCCGTTCTCCTGCACTGTGCTGTGCACGTCATCTAAACTAATCTAAGTTGATAGATTTACTAAAGCGTCACGATCGTTTGCCAACACTTGATCCACCTTTCATTTAATGATCTGTTTAAATGCAACTATAAGTCACATTTTAGCAAAGTTATTTTAGAGATCTTAGTTATCTACCTGCTAATGGTGGAAGTCTTTTGGGCTTTTCATATCCTCTGCTCCCAAGCAGTGTCCATCCTCCGTCGGGGTAACAAACCATAAAAGGAAACCCTGTGCATGTGCAAAGAGCTCATCCGCGGTACTCATCCCTGTGTGCCACTGGCTGTACAGAGAAACAACAGAGAGGTGTTTCGCTACATTTGTCACAGTGTTTTTATGTTTTATTTTTAAGAAAATGGAGTCTGAAAAGACAAAGCTGCTAAGTTGGCAGTAACGAGGGGAACTGAAGTGTGACGCAGGCTGTTGTGAGAGCGACTTCAAGCAAAAAGCAAAACCGGCAAATAACATCAACATTCTTTAAAGCTGTAATTCAGGGTTTTCTTTAAAAAGATGAAAATTATTTAATGCTCCTTGTTTATTTATTATCAAATGTGAACTGCTTTGCGCTTTTCAGACAATTTAAAGGCACACTTGTCAGTTTTGCCCACTTTTAGCACCCCCTAGTGTCCATTAATAATTCTCTGTGGTCAAACCGTAAATGAAATCCATCTCCTCGTTGTGCGTTTGTCTTTTTATCACCTTAATCTAACAGCTGACATGTCTCCCAGCTAGGGCTGGGCAATATGGCCTAAAATCAGTATCACAACACATTGAGGATTTCACCTCAATAACAATAAATGGACGATAACTACAGGAATGCGCAGAAACAAAAGTAGTCCACTAGATGGAGCTGTCACATGTATTACGTGACTCAAGGTGGTACAGCTTCTTAAAGGGACAGGAACGTTCCCAACCCACACACATCTTTTAAATTTTTTATTATCAAATTTATTGACATGGGAAAAAAAATCTCAATAATCAATTTTTGATTTGCTGCCCAGCCCTACTCCCAGCCTACATTAGTGTCTACAGAAGTGATTCGTCACTAAATTAAACCAATCAGCTGTGTTCATGATCTAAAACATGCAGGAAACGTGCTGGAAGCAGACTGCAGCGCCAGGTATGTCAGCTCCATTATTTAAAGTTCAACCGGTGGCAGCCCGCTCATTCTGAAGTTGTAAACACGGTACTCTGGGGGTCTGAGTGACATTTCAATAACCTTGTAATGGGTAATTTTAGCACATACTAGCTCAAGAAAGTGAAAAGGTTGCATAGTGTTTAAAAATCATGTGTTTAATGTTCAGGGTGCATTTAAACCTCAAAAATGACATCCTGCAACTTCTTATCAGAAACAGAAAAAACAGAAGCTTTGCTTTCAGATTACGCTGATTGAATCCCTGATCTGGAATCAAGAACTATCGATGCTTACATCCTTGCAGTTTTACCAAAGA